TAAGCTAATACATTACCTTACACAGCAACGGAGAGATTTACGATGTCCTCTGATAAATCTCAAGTGACGCCATCAACACCCGCACGTCATTGCTCAAACCACCAATGACGAAGCCTTTCCGCCACGACGTCATCCATTTCTTCCGCTAATCACGAATCAGATTTATCATGACGTCATCCATGCAGCCAATGGGGGGTGTGATTTGTTGATTGCGTCATGATGGGTCGCCAGGGAATTGACCAATGAATCAAGAGTTATTCAAAACGTCACACGTCCCAGCGGCCAATGGGATGATCGCGTGCATGGTAAACATACAAACCTGTACAGTGACAACATTTCAAGCCAGTTTGTAATATACTAATCAAGGTGGTCATTGAGGCGACCAGGAGACTGGTTACAGGTGCCTGATTACAGTGACAGGTGCCTGATTACAGTGACAGGTGAATTAATCAGCCAATTGACACTTGGCGTCCAGGGGTGAATGGGCAGAGCTCACGATCAGTTGAGAATGTAAAGGGATGAGTAATACGTGTACTTAGGTATTGGTGCTTACCTGGTGCCATACGTGGGGGTTGTTTCAAGCGTAGGGGAGACATTTATACGAATGAGGTGGATATAAATGGGAACGGCATCGTATAAGCCATTTAGCCTTCTGCAGTTATCTTAAGTTATCGTGTTGTTATCAGTCACTATGGGGACGTGAGGTCTCGTTCTTCACACCTGTCTGGTGGTCATGTTGTACTTGTTGTGTTATAGTTTAACTATTCTGATGTTCGATATCTTGGCATGTGGATGGAGGTGGCTTCTACAACTTCTTCTTCTTTCAATCCATTCCACTTGTTGGCTTCCCGTGCTTGGTACAAGTGTTTCTTCACATTCCTTCGGCTCATTTGCGTGTCCGGCTTCACCTGTGTCCTCTTGTCCTACTTTCTCTCAATTTAAGAGGCTGTTCTTATGTATTCTCTTCAGTATCTTGTATGTTGTGATCATATCCCTCTGTGTCTTCTCTCCGAGAAAGATACTGAGATTTAGTGTCTTTGAACCTGTACTTGTGGTTTAAACTTCCTAGTTCCGGCACTAATCTTGTTGCAAATCTCTGCACTTTTTAAATCTTTGTGTTTTTTCATAAGGTGTGGATTCCAGACCGGTGCAGCTTATGTACTGGTGTAACACACGCTGCGTACATTACCTTGAAGGATTCCTTTTTATATATATATATATATATATATATATATATATATATATATATATATATATATATATATATATATATAAGAAGTTCTTATGTTTGCCAGCGTCCCATATTCTGCCGATGTTACTCTGCCTTTTGGAGTCTCTGTAGGAATTATATTCACTCGCAAACCCTTTAATTTTTGCGATTCTTGTAGTCGCCTTCTTGTTATAGTGCAGATGCCTCCTGGTCTCCTTTCTCCTTCTCCTATCTTCATTACCTTACACTTGCTTAGACTGAATTCTAATAACCATTTGCTTGCCCACGCCTAGAGTTTGTCAAGGTGTTCATGTAATGTTGCAGCACTCTACATTATCATTCACATAAACTAGAAACAACAGAGGTACAAGAGCTGAACCTTGGTGCACCCCAACTTGTCATATTTCTCGAGGTGAAAATCATTTTTTTTTATTGTGACTCAGATTTCTGTTCTTCAAGAACATCCTTACCCAGGTGAATGTTTTCCCTCAGTTATGGCAGCCTGTTGCTCCATCTTGTCCACCAGCCTCTCACGAGGCTCTGTGTCAAACACTTGTTGACAATCTGGGATATAACACAGTCTACTCAGCCTAGTTTTTTTCCTGTCGTATCTTAGTACCCTTGTCATGGAACTCCATCAAATTTGTTAGGTACGATGTTTTCCTCCCTTCTAAATCCATTGCAATGGATTTAGAAGAGGGATAAAAATCTTCTTTAGAAGAGTTTTGAGGCGTCTGTCACTATATTTATCCTGGACAGGTCGTCCCTTTGCCTCAACCTCTTCCCAACCCTTTTCACTGCATGGTATGTGACACTGGTCTATAATTTAGTGACCACAATCTACCGGGTCCAACAATCTACCTCGTTTTCGAATATTGGGATTAGGTTTACCTTTTCCAGAGTTCTGGGAGATTTCCTGTTTTAAGTGTTTTATTTAAAATTTTAATTTAGGGCCCCTGTGTAGCCTCCTCCAGCAGCCAGGGTGATGCTAAGTGTGAAGCACAAGGTGACAGGTAGAGGTAGATATTGAATATGCAAGGAACGTGAGAGTAAGTGTAACACAGCAGGTGAGTATCGAAGGAGGAGGGCTAGAAAGAGGAGTAGAATGGGAAGGAGGAGGAGGGGGTAGAAGGTGAAGGTGAAGAAGACGAAGAAGAAAAGAAAAATGGAAAAGGAGGAATAGGAGGACTAGAAGAGGGAGGAGGAGGAGGAGCAGGAGGAGGACTTTGATACATAACACATTTACATAAAACAATTACAATACCAAACCAGCGAAGGAGAGACAGAAGATAACGGAGAAAAGAAAAGTGAACAAACAGTAGAGAGAAAAATCACATTTTTATTTTTGTTCTGCCTGAGTAAGGAGCGCTTGAGTTAGTGTGGTGGACCTGATCTACCGCTGAAGGGACAGTTTGAGGTATTTGAGTGCACGAACGCGGACTTAAGAGACGTTATTTGATTATCAGAGGTCACGGAAGGGGGGTAATTATTTACGAATTCCTTGCCTCGCCCTGCATTTAGCGTCCCCCTCTCTTCCTCTATTGGTTTATCAAATCTGTTTTGGTTCCTCGTTTTCAAACAAGGGAATTATTTTATTAATTTGCATTATGCTGAGGGGAAAAACCACACATACCTGCTAATATTTGAAGAAAAAACACACAAAAGTAATCTGGTTGATACCTGGTTGATACCTGGTTGATATCTGTCTGTTTACAAATTCCTGAGACGAAGAGCAAGACAATCTGCAATTTTCTCCTCCCTGGGCAACGGGTTCTAGTTCGAGGTATCTTGAAGATAGACGACTAATTGAGCCTTACTATCTATCGTCTATTGTAAACATCTCGAGAAGTGGTTCTTAACGTGGGAAGAAGAAGAGGCCCATCTTTACCTGTGTATACTCTCCAGGGTGTACCTGTGTATACTCTCCAAGGTGTACCTGTGTATACTCTCCAGGGTGTACCTGTGTATACTCTCCAGAGGTGTACCTATGTATACTCTCCAGGGTGTACCTGTGTATGCGCTCCAGGGTGTACCTGTGTATACTCTCCAGGGTGTACCTGTGTATACTCTCCAGGGTGTACCTGTGTATACTCTCCAGGGTGTACCTATGTATACTCTCCATAGGTGTATGTGTGCCCGAGGTTGACTTAGAGACGAGAGCAACCTTGGAGCATATACACACTAGGGAGCACTTTTCTTTTTTATGCACCTGAAACCACAGTGTGTGTGTGTGGTTTCAGGTGTGGCGCGATAGCAAGATCTTATCTACTGGCGGAGTGTGAGAGTGCGGTCCGTGAGGCTGTCTGCCTTCGGTAAACCGCTGCAACACGCAGCCACAACAACCAGGATGATCCCGTAACTCCAGCAGGAATCCGTCATCCTTCTAGAAAGTTTTCCCTGATTGTTCCGGTTATATTTCATATATATATATAATATATATATATATATATATATATATATATATATATATATATATATATATATATATATATATGTATGTATATATGCAAACAAGCCTGAATGGTCCCCAGGACTATATACAACTGAAAACTCACACCCCAGAAGTGACTCGAACCCATACTCCCAGGAGCAACGCAACTGGTATGTACAGGGACGCCTTAATCCGCTTGACCATCACGACCGGACATAAGGAAGTGATAGCCGAGGCTATTTGAACCACTTCCCCGCCGGCACTCGGATGGTAATCTTGGGCATAGCATTTTATCAAATCAAAGAATGAGGTGATTTTATAAAATGCTATGCCCAAGATTACCATCCGAGTGCCGGCGAGGAAGTGGTTCAAATAGCCTCGGCTATCACTTCCTTATGTCCGGTCGTGATGGTCAAGCGGATTAAGGCGTCCCTGTACATACCAGTTGCGTTGCTCCTGGCAGTATGGGTTCGAGTCACCTCTGGGGTGTGAGTTTTCAGTTGTATATAGTCCTGGGGACCATTCAGGCTTGTTTGCATTTGTGTTCCTCACGTGTGCCCCAAAGAATGAGGTGATTTGATAAAATGCTATGCCCAAGATTACCATCCGAGTGCCGGCGGGAAGTGGTTCAAAT